AGATTAAGCTTGATAAGTTTATGGAGGGGATGGTTTGATGGGATAACGTGATTTTAGTCAATAGGTCAATAACGTGCCATCTCCTCCGCAGCATGGGGCAGGGGTCGCTTGCTGGAGGATTCTCTGCGACTTGAAGTCTTTAAATCATGATTTGGGGACTTCAACAGCTGAGTCAAGGGAGAGAATTATTCCAGGAGTGGGTGGGTCAGCTTTTGTGGCCTGCATCATGCGGGAGGTCAGACTAGATGATCATAATGGTCCCTTCTGACCTTAAAGTCTGAGACTCGCTGCTTGTAGCACCAAATAGGCACTGCCTAGGGGAGATACAACCAAGGTAGGCAGCAAGGTTAGGGGCTAGAGTTGCTGGAGGGAGACAATGACATCAGATGGAACTCAATCACAATGCTACTGCTCAGGCTCCTCTGCCTGCAGCACAAATGGGCACTCTCAAGGGGAAGTCTTTGATATGAAACCAATAAAATAACAGGAGGAGCAGCAGCTTAGACAAATTAACAATAACATTTAGGTTTAGCAGCAGTATCCTGTAAAATTGATACAGGTTCAGGGATAGAGACTGGAGGTCCTGCTGGTTTGATGTGCATCAGCCATGCACTCTGCAAGCCATTACTGAAAGTATGAAGTAATCTTGGCTTTGCCTCATTGTATGGTCCTGGGATAATCAATGATTTATTGCCCTACCTCTAAAAGGAGGAATAATGCTTACCTACCTTATAGGCATGGTGTAACATTGCTTGTACACTGCTTTGAAAATTGGGAGCATAATGTGTCTTGGAGCCACTATGCCAACATTGCATCAGTTCACAATTTGAGGCTCTTCACAATTTATAGATCTAAAGCAGTAGCTTCATCTATTTTTCAGATGGCATCCTGCAAAAAGATCCTAAATTCCCTTGCTCCACATCCTAGTATCTGTCAAAACTGGAGTATAAACTGAATGCTCCATTTTGTAACTATCCTTAAGTACAGTTTAACATGCAGTCCACAGTCATGAGCATGGACAGAGCTTGGAATTTGATTTGTCCCCACCTGAGCATCTTAAGTAACGGATGTCATCTGGAGGAAATCCATGGTGCTTGTGGGCTCAGGGCCCAGTTATGTGAAAGGGACAATTTATAAACAACTGCATTAAGAAACACAATTTTTCCACTGGTGGAGGAAAGCAGCCAGGAGCCATACTTGGATACAAAGCTGTATTTATATATTTCTTTATACAGGTATATTTACCTCCAGCATAAAACAAAGTCTAGATAAGCCAAACAAAAAAGTGGGGGAGTCCTGAGAACCAGCACCCCCAAAACTCAGCAAAATATAAATACAAATCAGAAAGAAAGGAGGGAAGCAGTGCTTAGCCAGCCACCCCCCCCCCCCCCGAGCAAATAAAAACCAATAATCATTAATATCTGCTCAGAATGCAACTCTACAAACTTGCTGGCAATATACAGTGATTAAAGCTGTGACAGCAACATTTAAACCAAACAAATTAGTGCTTTATTTTTCCTTAATCCTCGCAGTGGTGCCGCAGTCTTTATTTACAGGCTTTAAGCTTTAGAAATAGGGCAAAAGATAAGGGAATTTGCTTTTGAAACAAACTCTCCCCCAAACAGGCAAATTTTAGAAAGTGGCCCCATGTTCACACTTGTCATCCTTCCTTCCAGCTAAGAATGTCTAGAGAGATGAAGCTTCAGGTTTCCGATGCAGAGAGAAAGGGGAGCTCCCTGCCTGTGAGGCTGGAAACACTGGCTCAGAGCTCTCTCCGTCTCACACAGGGAAAAGCCTACTGAAACTCTTCCTGCTACTATTTTGGGAAGGGGATGGGGAGAAAACCCTCTTTAATTACAGGTGAGTAGAGCAGAGACCGCCTTAGGGCAGTCTCTAAGCAGCACAGTTGGCCACTGGCCAGTTGTTTCCATGGGCTCTGGTGCCATCATGTGGCCATTTCTTTCCCTAACAATTACAACCCTACTGTGAAACTCTAGTTCCTGTCTTGGAGGTACCGTTATGGTTTGGCTGACATGATCTCTGTGTGTAGTTCGTGGAGTAGTTTGGGATGAAAAGCACTATAAAAGTAAGAAGTTTTTCTGAGAGTACATTCTGAATCTAATCCTACTGTATTTTGTAAATATCTAAGGTATTAACTAATCACTGCCATCTTGCTTTAAAATAGTTGTAAATGTAGGACAGGCCTCTGGATTTTAATTATTCCTTTCCTTTTTGGAAAGGAGGTGAACTCACTACTGAGAAACTACCCAGCCATCGTCTTCAAGGTCCACAGCATGTGTTGTGCCTGTGTGTTGGCAGGAAAAGGAGATAGCCAGTCCTTGACATCAGCAGTGACCCTGACCTATGCTTAAGCATCATGGGGCTACCTGGACTGCTATAGATCTTACTTAGGGCTACAACCTACCACCCACCATTATAAATCTCCAGTGACTGCACTCAGTGGGTTGCATCCTCTGTAGTGATGTGAAAGGCATCTGGGAAGACCCCCAGCTGCCACCTCTGAGAACACCGGGGGGGAGGAGAAAGGGGATTTATATGGTGGTTGCAGGCAGGCAGTGAATTCAGCCTAGGGAAAGGCCAGCTCTACTAAATTAAAGCACAGGCAGTAAGTTCAGCTCTATTAAAAACACAAGAGGAAAACTTTGAGTGGGCCTGATAGTGCTACCCCTCACATGAGCGGTCCCAGCAAAATCTGTGAGCTTGCTTACTGACTAGAGTTTGCAAGATTGGGGCTAGTGATTGCTATATGGAGGACAAAAGCTGCCACTAAAGGAATTTCCCAGCTTAAAAACAAAGCAAAGTTCAGGGCAAATGGGGTGGGGGGAAGTAATGTAAAAAGTGTACTTTGCAAAGAGTGGCAGTGGAGGATTTCCTGTAAATTGCTGGCAGGAATGCAGTCCTATTGAGACTGGATTTGTGTTACTGCTTCGCACTCAGGGACCACCGGCCCATCAGCCCTCTGTTCTCCCCTATTAGTTGCCTGGTGTAGCACAGAAAATGTGCCTCTCACTCACAGGGCATTCAATACTCGTTCTCTGCAGCCAGTGTGTTTGAGTAGCTAGATTGCTAACACAGCTATGACTGCTCTGCTAATTAGCAGAGAACGGAAACTGAAGAGCTGGTCCGAAACCACACCTTCAAATAAAGGGCCTGATCCTTAGAGGAACCAAGGATCTAGCTCCCATAGAAGTCACCAAGAGTTACAGGTATTTGGCCTGTGTGGGGGCAGTCACAGAGACAATTGGGAGTTATGTTTGCTATGCATCGCCCCCAAAATAAAACGGAGATAAGCCTAGGCCCCCAAAGGCTGTACAGGAGCCATCTCTATTTGACTAAAAAAGCATTCCCTAATGTTTTGCTGGGGGCAACAGGAATTGCAGCCATGCATTCCTTACAGCTGGGACATGAACAGATCCTGCTCTGCTGTCTGGAATTCAGTGATTGTTGTATTTGTCTCCACTACCAGCAAGAAAAGAGAGTCATCAGAGTCCCTGCCACAGCTACCCAGCCCCGGTTTGGTAAAAGCTGCCTACATCAGGTGATGGCGCTTTGCTAAGGGAAAAATACTTCCACCTCTGGAGCCAGCTTTGTGCTTTGGTTCAGCATTGCAGAGTGGAGTTTCCGCTCCAGCTGCCTTGCTTACTCCTCCGCCTGCCCCTCCCTTTCTCTAGAGGCTGCTGCCACTGTCTTACAGAACTGGGCACAGGATTACCCTGGCACAGGTTCAGACTGCAGGAATGCAGAAGTTTCCCTCCCCCGTCGGTGAAAAGTGCTGGGGTGGGAGAAAGACACACACATACAAGAGCTGCCAAAGTCTGACAGGTCCTAGCTCCCCCAGCACCAATATAGCTGTCAGGCTGGGGCTCAGCACTCACCCCCTTTGGTTTCCTATGTAAGACACAAATAGATCAGTAAGGACAGAATTAAGAGGCCTGTTTTTATACTGCTTTAAAAAAATTCAGTAGTTTAGCAAGTTAAAACCTTGTAACAGTAAAATACCCATAATACACTCACCAGCTTACCCAGGGGGCAATGGGAGCCAGGCCTTGAGTGACCTGCCCCCTCCCCTCCTAGGGGAAATCGGTAGGGGGCCACCTTTCCTGGCAGAGACCTGTTGGGAACAGAGCTGTATTCACCAGTAGGTGCAGTGAAACCAGTCACCTGAGTCTCCAGCAGCCCCACTCCCATTGTGCAGAGCAGTCTGTGCTGGTGGGCCTCCCTTTGGCACCCCTGAGCAGAGGCAGGCAGGGTGAACCTGGGCTTCAGGGATGTTCTGTGGGGCTGGCTCTGGGACCAGCCAGCTCTAGCTACTCTAGAGTAACAGGAACAGTCCCCACCCCAACCACAGAAATATGGGGTACCGCAACAAACACCTGCAAACTGACCCCTTAGATAGATGTATTTGGGGGGGGAGGATGACTGCTCCCAAGGTGCCTCTTCTCCCCACTTCCTGAGGGGGGGGGGGAATCAAGGGCAAGCCCTTGCCAACTGGCTGGCACAGGCTGACTAGGGGTTTTGTGGGGTTCTTAAGTTCATCTGTTCAGGCCTGGTCTGCATGGAGTGTGGGAAACAGGGCAGGGAGGAAAGGGACCAAGGAGAACCCTGTTGCCTCTGCAGCCCCCTCCTTGGCAGGGTTTCTCTCTGGCTGTCCATGTGGAGCATCCCAATGTCACCAGGAATCCTATGGAGTAGGGATGCAGGAGAATAGCCAGTGGCTGACCAGAAGGAACAGCAACTCCAGTGTATGACTTCCAGTATGTCCAGGCAGAGCCCTCTTTTCAGGATGGAATTCCAGTGTTTCAGCATTGACAAGAGCTCCAGTCTTGGAAGATAAATTCCAGTGTTGCAGAGAGCTGCTGCGTTGCTACAGGAACCGATAGGCCTCTCGGGCTGTTGTTCCCAGCCAGACCACAGTCCCAGCTCTAGAGGTTGGGACAAGCCTGTCCACATGTGATCCAGTGTAACACTTTCAAATCCAGTGTAGCAGAGGGAGGGAGATGGGTACCAGTGTCTCCAGAAGGGAAGGAGATGGACACAGTTGCCCAGGATTGTGGGCTATGGTGTTTGGTTAGCATGTCCAGTAGATCCCTGGGGCTGGTTGTGTTGCTCCTGGCAGAGTTCCTATATTCCTTTTGGAGCACTTCAGTGTCTATATCGTCCCCAGGACAGAACCAAAGTAGCTCAGAGCCCCAAGGGGAAGGTGGGAGCAGAAGGGGACTTGGAGGTTTACAGAGGAAGGCATGTGGCAATCTGATAGGTTTCACCAGTCCCCTTCCTCTCTCCCAGCAAAGGGCACTGGTGCTGCCGGGACTCACTCACAGAGCCAGTAAAACTGGAAATAATAGTCAGTGAAGAGGTGTCCCATGTGCTCCGGGGTGGTACTACAGCTGGCTTTGCCCTACGAAAGGGAGAGAGGGCTGTCAAGAGAAACTTCCTCAGAAGGAGCAGGATTCAGTTGCTATCCCACTTGTGCACTGGGGAAGTAGAGGATTTGCCAGCTAGATTTGCATATGACCCCCATCACCTCCCAAGTGTTTTAAAACAGAACAACAATCTCAGCCTGTAAGAGTAAAGAGCTCCAGTTTTGCATTTCCCCTGCCCACACCCATCCCTGCAGTGTGTGACTTGGAAAGTCCTGGCCACTCACCCCAACTAACTTCCCTCCTCCCACAATGTCCTCTGCTGTGTACAAGGGGAACCCGGTCACGATTTACACACGCATCCCTGTCCGGAGGGGGGCACAGGGCTCTGGAATTCTCACAGGCCCCCTCATCCTGGCGAGTGATAGGAATGAGGCCACAGAGCCCGATCCCTCTCAGCTCTGCCCTGGATGGTGCAGAGGACATAGCAGGTCCCATACTCACAGGCTGGGCTACTCGGAAGTGGTAGGTGAACTCCCGGAAAGACAGCATCACCATGGGCCAACGCTGTGTCATTTCCTGGGGAAGAAGATACAACCGGTGGGGGGAGACAGAATGAACCTGTTACTACTAGGCGTTAAGTAATTCATCCCTTGGGTGAGCAGGGATGCTGCATAGTGAACTGGCCTGCTCCACTCATCAGGCTTCTGAGACTGTCCTGCAAAGCCGAAAAAGAACTGAAGTCCTTCTCTGCCTGTCTGGGGCTACAGTGCCTGGAGCTGGATGGGTGCGAGTGAACCCCAAATCCTGATCAGGCACTTGGGGAAGTTTATCCAGATGGACAGCTGTCCTGAGAACGTAAATTGGCTGAGACTACAGCAATCTGTTTGCAGAAGGGGCCGGCTCAGGGCCATCATGCCATAAAAGTGATGGATGAGGAGATGGGTCCGTATGGGTTTGAATGGTGTAAACCTAAGGCTGCAAACCCTGATTATAAATCTCTGGCTGGAGGATCTGAATGTTAATTAGAAGAGCTGCACGTGGGACAGCTCTGAGAATGGCTCAGAAACCAGAACAACAAGGAGTCTGGTGGCACCTTAAAGACTAACAGATTTATTTGGGCATAAGCTTTCGTGAGTAAAAACCTCACTTCTTCGGATGCATAGAAGTGAGGTTTTTACTCACGAAAGCTTATGCCCAAATAAATCTGTTAGTCTTTAAGGTGCCACCAGACTCCTTGTTGTTTTTGTAGATACAGACTAACACGGCTACCTCCTGATATCAGAAACCAGAGTGGCTCGATACCTTGAACCACAGATTTAAAGGGAACAACTGATGTCAATGAAATCTGTGGTGTGACTAAATCGGGTAGTGCAAGCAGAGCTATTGGTGACCTGGAGGTGGATGGTACTGAGGGAACAGATGGTGCTAAGAGGATGTTGGCACTAAGGAAGACATTAACGCCCCAGCAGTGGGAGGCTCTGGAAGGGCAGCAGCAGGATGTGGGGGAAAAGAGGAGCTAACTGAAGCTAATGCAAACCCAGTGCACATGCGCCTGTGTACGGGCGTGGGGAGATGAGAGTAAAGGGTATTCCATAGGAACAGAGTACATTCAAATAATCGACAGTGCCCCAGAAACTGGGGGGGTCTTACTGAGGAATTGGGGCCTATCATGCCACAGAGCGCAAGCGGCCCTGCTGACAGCCAGATTCATAGGCTTGTGTCAGAGGCAAGGATCATTCCCTCTCCTTGTGGGGCCAGAGACGAGGAGGCACCATGACACGAGGAAGCTGAAGCACCAACAGGGTCTTGTGCTAAGGAAGGCAAAGACGTCACAGTCACCCGCACCAGGGCTAAAGGCCTGGGGGATCAAAATCTCCTATCTGAGAAACATCTAACTGGAGCCCAGTGAATGAAGGAGACTCAGGCTGCATGTCCTTTGAGAGATGGACCAGTGGACCCCACCACAGAGGCAGCCACCTCAGTCCTGGCAGTGACCTCATGGAGACCAGCACAGCTCTTTGGGGGAGACCTCTGAAGGAAAGCTCAGTGAGTCTAGCAGCTTCTAGATCCACAGGCAGAGAAATCAGGAGCTAAGGGAGTCAGGGATTAGTTCCTCCTTCCGCCGTCCCTCTGGGAGCAGCTGTGCACAGCACAGAAGCTCACGGCCCCACCCGGGCAGTTTCCCAACCGTCCCGGAGGTCACACAACAGAGGAGGTAGCCCTGGGGAGGGGGGAAGGGGGGGCCATTCAGTTTCACAAAGCAGTAGTTCTAGTAACCACAGTGTCAGTGACTCGTGTGTCAGCCAACTGGGTCTCTCCCTTTCTCAGACCCAGACTACACCACACCCTGTTTGCTCAACAAGAAGACAAAGGCTGCCAGGTTTGTCCCTAGCACCCCGTGTTGCTTCTCAGGAAGCCAGGGACCTTTACGACAAACCGCGGGGGACCTCAAGGACTGTCTGGCTGCCCAAGCTGTGCCAGTCCTTTGAGGGATTGTGTGTCCCTACCTGGGTGTCTGTGGTGTTGGTGGAGCCGTCCATGCTCATTGTGTTCTGACATGGGTCACTGGACTGGAGGCCACAAAGGTAGATGGACACAGCAGAGGAGGCACTGGAGAGAGAGGTGAGTGAGTTCTGCCTAGCACCAGGAAAGCAGACTGGCCACTCCAACAGAACCCCAGCAGCTTAACACCCCATCCAGTTACCCCATAACCGCCTTCTGCCTCCCGCAACTCACTCGCTACTCTCAGTCACCCAAGAGCCTGCTCCTCCCCCTCCCATCCCACCATTCCC